CATAATGTCAGTTAGGATAAATTCTCACCTGTAAAATGAATGCCAACACTAGCATCTTAAATAGTAAGTGCTATAATCTGCCTAATTTTTTAAAGCAGTTGTCTAACCTACAAGGCTGGAATTTGTGATATCCAGTAATGTGTTTCATATTGCAATAATGCATGTAATATTGCTCAACCAGGTTGAGCACAAAATATACATGATGAGAAGTGAGTATGTGTTAATGGGGACAAACCATGGACTATGATGTGGGAAGGACTGCTCTTGAAGCAGCATCCTCCTTATATATAAAATCTGTATAAATCCTTAGTTGCCTGCACTGTAGCTATAGTTTTGTAGCTGAGGAACTGCTGAAAAATAAAGTAAATTCACCCCCCCCCCCCCACACACACACCCGATATCTCTGCTCTCCACAGATGAAGTATGTTCATAATTTTACCCAGGTTTTCTACCCTGGATCTCTTGATTTAGTCCTTTAGGACAAAACTTAATGCCCAGTTGAATTAGGTTCATGTATTAGTAGCATCATTAGATTAATGATCTTAAATTGCAGTTATCTAGCTAATCATGTAGTCAATAAGGACCGCTCTGCAGAGCCGCAGTGGGGGTAGCTCCGGGAACCACCCGCACTGCATTTCTGCATTTTAAATGTAAGAGCTGCTGGGTTCTTAGTACATTTAAAATGCAGAGGCACAGCATCTGGACCAGCGGAAGCCAGGACTGCTTGGTTCCAGGCTTGCACTGAGTCCAGTAGCCCCTGTTCATGGCAAACAGCACTGTCCGCCTCAAACAGGGGCTGCTGCCAGAGCAGCCTCTGGTTCGTGGTAGCCAGGCATGGCTACAGGCAGGGGCAGCCCTAGCAGCAGCCCCTGTTGGTGGCGGCCAGGGCTGGCCATGATCAGGAGCTGCTGGCAGAGCAACCCCTGCATGCAGCCAGTCTTGGCCATTGCGAACAGGGCTGCTTTGGAAGCAGCACCCCTGTTCACGGGTGGTGAGGGTGGGGTGGGGGGGGACCAGCTCCCTGTTGGGACTCCTGTAGACAGGGGCAGCTTCACAGTAGCCTCCCCTATTCTCCCCTCCCCCCGCTACCTCTACTAGAGGCAGTGGG